GGGGATGAGGGTGGGGGTGGGGATGGGGATGAGGGTGGGGATGGGGATAGACGGGTCTGGTGGGGCCATGGCTGAAGATCTGCCCCATTCTGCCCCGCAGCTGGTCTACGACGGGATCCCCAGGGGGGACCTGCAGCAGCGGGAGCTGCGCCTGAGCGTGCTGAGTGAGGAAGGCTTCTGGGAGAACATCCTCCTCGGGGAGGTCGGCATCCGCTTGCGGGACCTCGACCTGGCGCAGGAGAAGATGGGCTGGTTCGCCCTGGGATCCCGTGGCCATGGCACTCTCTGAGGTCCCACCACCAGGGCTGGGGGACCCGCGGCACTGCCACCACGGTTCTGCCCATCCTGGGATGTGCCCGTAAGGGACTGGGCACTAATTGGCGCTGCCGCAGGCGTCTTCTTTTTTAAGTTTACCTTGTGTCAAGGGAGCAACGTGGGGAGGGAGGGTAGGGAGGACCTGTGGGGCACTTCAGGGGGGGTATTTCTTCCTTTGGGATATCTGTATTTTAATTTTTTTAATAATGAGTAGCGTGCAGCCGGGTACCGGGGCAGAGAGGAGAGGGGAGGCGTTGTGGGGGTTCGCTGGGGGGGCGTGGACCTGCAGAGCCCCGGGTACATCAGCTGCCTGCCTGGATCTGGGCAATTCCCATCCCAGGGAATTCGCTCCCAAAGGAGAGCAGTGTGGCGGGGCTGTGGCTGGAGCCAGTCCCATGTGGCTGACCCCCCCCAATGCCATGGGAAGGGGACCGCTGGCCACCCTTCCCATCCCCGTGCCGGCAGGGACAGCCGTCTGTCTCCTCATCTGCCATCCGGCCCCGGAGCCGGGGACGCCTGCACAGGGGTGCGGGCTTGGTGCCTGTGGTGCTTTGTTTACAGCGAGAGCTCCGTAAACGGACGAAATGTTTCTCAGGATCGAGAATAATGAACTTAACCTTTATATTAAAAGTTTTAAATATTGTATCTAGTGGGAGGTGGAGTGGGGGGCAGGGAGCAGCCTGGCCCCACCGCAGCTGGGGCTGCTGGAGCTGGCACCCTCCTGACATCGGGACCCTCCCGCCTGTAACACGGTGGCGTGGAAATAAAGGAGATGAATCCGGAGGGCGGCAATCCACCCCCCCCCCCCGCCACTTTATTTGGGGAAACTGAGGCACAAAGCCAGCTGCAGCAAACCGGCACCTCCCCAGGCCTGCACCCCATCTGCCTGCACCCCTGCCTGCACCCCTGCCTGCATCCCACCTGCCTGCACTGCTGCCTGTGCCCCTGCCTGCACCCCATCTGCCTGTGCCCCATCTGCCTGCACCCCTGCGTGCACTCCATCTGCCTGCACCGCTGCCTGCACCCCATCTGCCTGCACCCCTGCCTGCGCCCCATCTGCCTGCGCCCCTTGCCCACAGCAGATCCCAGGAGGCCAAGCTTTGGGGGGACGGGGACGCGGCTCCCTCGGTCCCCAGGCACCGTCCCGCTGGCCCACGCAGGGCCCCTGGCCCCCTCCAGCTCCTCTCCCCGGTAACGGCCCCTCGGCCATCGTTACCCCGCGGACCGAGGCAGGGCACCGGCGAACGGCTGATGGACGCTAACGGGGGGCGGGCAGCCGGGGGGAGGA